GGCTTTCGGGGACTCTTAAATGAGTTCGACACAATCGGGAATTCGAGACATTTGGGTAAAAATAATGATAAATATACGGAATATGGCAGGGACCGAGAGATGAGTTTGACACAACCGAGAATTCGTCTCAACCGATTTCAAACAATTTGGTTTCGACTGTATTATGTAGCTTTTCAAAACATGAATTGGGCAAGTGTCCCAGGAGCTTATAACAAATGTTGTCGGCTCCCCCTACAGAGCCATGAGTTGGCCCAATGCCGTTCATCCAGATCTAATGTGCTCAAATTGACTGATTTCTTTCGGTGTCTGTCAAACTAAGGGTTGTAATTAGAAGAGCTAAGAAAATGTTATTCTTTTCCCTTGAGTCTGTTAAATCATGTTCCACATTTGGAAATTGGTGATGGCGGGAATGAATTTTAGATACAGTTCTTCCATGACTGACGATTGATCTGTTTATAGGCCCATGTTACTCTTTAAGACTCGTTTTGTCATTTTAACATTCACGTGTGCACAGTAGGATGTCATCGGAACTATTTTCTGTTTTATTCCTTCTATTCCAAGATTTTGTCACAATGATTATCAAATCATGGTTTGCTTATATAAGGATTTGCAGAGATTTGAAGTTGATAGATCGGGAAATAGTTCTGAAGGACTAGGAGTGCTCCTGAAATTATCAGGTTACACAGTGTTTAAGAAAAGACCAGTTGGCCTTTATAAAGTTCCACTTTGTTGAAAGTGGTTTGTCAGCTTCATTGATAGTTGTATGTAGCCTGGTGGTTAAAGCGTTGGCTCGTCACGCCGAAGACCCGGGTTCGAATCCCCGCATGGGTACAATGTGTGAAGCCCATTTCTGGTGTCCCCCGCCGTGATGTTGCTGGAATATTGCTAAAAGCGGCGTAAAACCAAACTCAGTCATTCAGTCAGTTGTATTTATTGTTGGCAAATGGTTCCTCCCTAAAAGGTCATCGTGGACTGACCATTCAAACTCGTTAAAATATTTTGAATCCGTAAAGAGATGACCACTACATTTTTGTGAACAGTAAATTGCTTCACAGCTGTGACTGATTGCTGTTGAGGGTCCGTGGTTATTTGATCTTCTGGTCATGCCAGACAGGCAGTGAGCTGTTCCACGGATGATGCTGTTACACGTGCCCAGTGTCCTGTGCTTTGCGTATATATTGACAAACCTTTTCTATTTTGAGTAGATTGACGGATTGTTGAAACCTGATCAATGTTTTGTGACATTTGAAACCCCTCCTCCACAGATACCAGCGATAGCCTTGGATATTACAAATGGATTCAGTGTAATGGATTGTTTGTCACCAGCTTCAATAAATAAATGGGGTATTCTCGTCAGAAAGAAAAATGGTTCAGCACCTTTTCCCCACACCAAGCACAGATCGAGGACAGACTTTTGCTGCAGATAGATAGAAAGATGACACAAGACCTGTCTATCAGATTAAAGGTCTGGCTTCTTCGGCCCATGACAAACAACGGAGATCAGCATCACCAGAATGGCCCATGAGCCGTCTGGGCATAGGGCTCTAAACCAGCTGAGAGTTTTAAACACATATTAGGAGAGCGAAAGTTTCAAAGATTAAAAAAGAAGAAATCACCAAATCTATGTGCAAAATATTGGCACGACCAGCCGATTGATGGAATCGGTACCCGTCTGGACAAACTCGGTGGTGCATCACACTAAGGAGCACAATTGCCGGCTCCGGCGCCCTCAAGCAATAGATTCCCGTCCTCCTCGACACAGAGGCACAACCCAAGGCCAACTGATTGCCCTTACAACCAGCAATGGGTGGCTGGGGACACATTCTACCCGGTTCCCCACGGGATGGAGATATATGGCTTGCAGATGACTGAACACTGATAATACCGTTCTTCTACAGCTGTAGCACATGATTACATTATACAAATACTGAGATCCAGGCATACACGACTTGTCTGCCAACACCTAGGCTATGATGTATGCGGTTGTTGCAACAAGGTTCGCTATAACTCAAAAAGTATCATAATTTCGCACCCATCACCGATTACCATGTCCAGACGGAAACCAGTCTCCGGATCATCTACGAGCCCTGATGGAGTCCTCATTAGTATATTGTTGAACATAACAAAGTTTCATACTGCAGAGTTTTGTTGTATATGGCTTTTTTTGTCAATGTAGTACACTTTTGAAAACTGATAACTATACCTAGACATGAAATTGAAGGTTTGACAAAGACATCCACTGATAAATAATACATACAAGCTATAGATACAGATGAGAACTGAAGCAACCCGATGAGACACTGACGTTGTAGCAACGATGCCCTTGAAACCAAAACATTCTGTAATTCATGACGTTGGTTTTCTAATCATAATTATTATCCATTCCTTTCTTCTGTTTCAACTTTACGATGAGGTAAGGGGGTATCGATTACTTTGTTTTCTTTCGTCAAGTTAAAACAGTGGAACAAATCGATGCACAAATGAATCAGTAATAGACCAAACAACGTTTTCATGCGGAAATGTGTTTGAAATTTATCTCACCATGAAGTGGGTAATATTAATAATGTAAGACAATATGCACTGTGTGAATTTAAATCTAAAAAGATTCACCAGACCGTTATCCAGCTGACGTATGTTAACCCTGAGAACAACTAGGGCTGTATAATTGTGGTAAATGCGTGTCATTGTAAGTGGATTGCGTCAAACATCGCCTGTCCTTCAAGTCTTCAGTTATCTTGGTCCACACTCGAGCCGAAGGGAAACAACCCTTTAGTAGTTCTGAAACACTGCACCGCAAGCAGATGGGAATGAACATCTACCACCAGCAAGGGAGTCATCCACCAGCCATCAATCACACGTCAATAAAGCGAGACACACGCACAATTCGTAGATACATGAATAAAGTATCTTCTGACCATCAGTTTAATAAGCTGGAACCAGAAAACAGCTAATCCGGTCTTTGTATACATAGGCTCCTTATATGGTCACATTGGAGGAGATTTCTATCAAAATAGCTAACACAACAAGATCCAGCTTACTTATTTACCCCGATATTCACTCCAGTTTAGAATTCTCTCTGAACAATGTATACTGCTTCTGTACTAATAAATATTCCCAAGTGTGTAAAGCACAGTACTCTGAAAGTCACTGGATTTATCACGCGGTAATAGATCAGAACAGTACACCTGACGTGAGAAATGTTACATGCAAACCACATACAGTCGAACACCGTTGTCTCGATATTTACGGGACCAGGAAAAAATATCGACTTTTCCGAATATCGACACATCCGAGTTGGGCATATCATCACATACCAACATGAAAGAAATGAAAGAAAACAGTAAATTGCATGTCTATTATTTATTTGTCCTCACAGAGATCGGAAAATACACATGGTAATCTCGTCATAGTGTCCATTTTGAAATATACAAAAGTTGGATTTACTCCACAAACGAAGTGAAGAAATCAGAAAGTTTTAACTGACGGGTATTTGGTGCTGGCATGAACGCAATACTGGTCAACCACTCTTGATACATAACAAGTCCTTGTGTCATTCGACCTCCATCTCTCCATTCCACAAATCGAGTCAGGACGTCCGGGGCGTCGGTTGCCACGTATTGCCATATAATGCAAAAATACGTATTGCCATATGATGCAAAAACACGTATTGCCATATAATGCAAACCTCGTATTGCCATATGATGCAGACCACGTATTGCCAAATAATGCAAACCACGTATTGCCATATAATGCAAACCACGTATTGCCATATAATGCAAACCACGTATTGCCATATAATGCAAACCTTTTATTGCCAGTCAAAGGGAGAATATTCTTGAAAGGGACTATAATCAAACTGACTTATTTATGCTGGAACGTCACGTTCAAGATTATATGATCTAAATGGTCAGAAACAACGCTTCTGAATGTATTCCTGCTTGGGAATTCCTAGAAGTGTGGATGTAGTCCGACAGTGTTAACATCATTTCAAGAGTACAGGCTCATGAAAACCATAGGAACGTCAAAATGTGTATTCATACACTTATGAACGTCAGATTTGTGTCATGTGACCTGCCTCTGGTCCAATGGAAAAGCCGTATATCGTATAAACTTCACATTAGGAATAATTCCATATTGTATGACAATTGATGTAGGCTTCTGTGTCACCGCTCATGGTTTCTGGTCATGAATTAGCTGTTTAATAAAATTAAAATTTTAATTGAACATTGTCGTAAAATATTTTCAGTCGTTTGTTCCCGTATCTATTTTAATAATATATCATATATCTCGTTCAATAATATTATCAAGCTGACAATGAACTCGTGAAATCAATTACTGTTCACATCGTTCATATTGAGTGAGTGAGTGAGTGAGTGAGTGAGTGAGTGAGTGAGTGAGTGAGTGAGTGAGTGAGTGAGTGAGTGAGTGAGTGAGTGAGTGAGTGAGTGAGTGAGTGAGTGAGTGAGTGAGTGAGTGAGTGAGTGAGTTAGTGAGTTTTACGTAGCAGTCAGCAATATTCCAGCTATATGGCGGCTGTCTGTAAATAATCGAGTCTGGACCACAAATCACTCTACGCAATTGGGATACAATGACGTGTCAACCAAGTCAGCGAGCCTGACCACCCGATCCCGTTAGACGCTTCTTACGACAAGCATGGGTTACTGAAGATCAATTCTAACCCGGATCTTCATGGGTTACTGAAGATCAATTCTAACCCGGAACTTCACGGGACAGATTGTAAATAGAGCTTACACGAGCTAGTGTGTCATACGACTTATCATCCTCGATAATCTCCGGGGTATACGTTCCGATAAATCTCCACTATAGTTGAGAATGAACGGGCTCCACTATAGTGGAGATTTATCGGAACGTATACCCTGGAGATTATGGAGGATAACGACTTATACGAGTGTGAAATTTTATATTGCCAGTGCGAGAGCAATACACAGTTTTGCACGTTCATTTGTTTAATGTTCTCACAGACGACGAAAACAGAAACAATGGCTGCTAGGTAAAAGTGAGTTGCTAAAACCCAAAGGAAACGGCCTCGGCCTTGAAGTTGAAAAGTAACGATGCACTGGTCGTGAACCATGTACACATAGTCGTCAAAGACGTCGTGCACCATGAACACATAATCACCAAAAACGTGACACTCGTGTTTATGAGGCTTGATTGAATCTAGCTTGGACACCTCACCGCTTTCCTGATTGTCTAATGTTCTCAAGTATTCTCGTTTAAATAAGATACTCTCTAATTATGTACCAAACGGCTTCAAGCTCTACTTACGTAATATACATAAAATATGTTATTTCTCAAGAGTTATGTTCAACACAAAAGAACTCTTGGAAGCCATCAGTGAAGTCGATACCTTGATGGACCATAATATTCTTAGCGCTATTTCTCTGGGAAATCCTTATAAAAAGTTGTCAGATGTTTACGTTGTGACAATAATTGTTTACTGGCCATAGCAACAAGGATGGAAATTTCCGCATAGCTCTTTCAATGGGTAAAGTATTTAGGATTCAAGTGTATAGTGGATATCATGCCTGGGTATGGATTGCGACGCCGCAAGCATTGGTACTGAGCTTCGTCCAACGCTTCAAAATATAATCATGGGTTGGAATCTCGATTCGCTACCATTTCGTTCCTAGCTTTGTCAGCAACCCCTGATCGCACGTTTCAGCACGGTAGCAAAGGTCTGAGGCTTTCATCACTTATGTGTTCCCTCCCCTGGGGTGGTGGGGTAGCCTAGTGGTTAAAGTGCTGAAGATGGAGGTCACTCTGAAGACCCAGGTTCGATTCCCCACATGGGTAACAAGTGTGAAGCCTATTTTAGGTGTTCCCAGCCGTGATATTTCTGGAATATTGCTAAACCGAAACCGGCGTAAAATCACACTCACTCACTCACTCGCTCACTCGATCACTCACTCACTCACTCACTCGACCACTCGATCACTCGATCACTCACTCACTCACTCACTCACTCGATCACTCGATCACTCACTCGATCACTCACTCACTCACTCGATCACTCGATCACTCGATCACTCACTCAATCACTCACTCACTCACTCACTCGATCACTCGATCACTCACTCACTCACTCACTCATTCACTCACTCGATTTCAACCATAGATTGAATTATATAGATTTTCTATGTTGACGAAGGGCGCACCTGTTGCATATGTATTGATTTACGAAACATTTAAAACACCACAGGGTTTTTTTAATACTGAAACTTTTCCAGGTATAGATATACGGATCACCCCGCTCAACATCTGTTCCTTTAATGATTCACAAGTTTGATTTGCTGCCGTCATGTTTCAAGCCTGAACGTCTTTACATTATTTGGAGTTTGTGTCACCGTTTCACATGTTTGTGGTTTTAACACTTTTAGAATAATTAGTATAATACAGTCGCCTTACGTAAACGTCTTTATGTTTTACGTTTACGGATGTTGTGTTCAGGTAACATAAAGACTGTGAGACGGTCGGACATGTATATAGGGCTCTTCACAACGAGCTTAGTTAGATACAAACATGGGTATTACGTTCATGATTAATCACGTCACTAAACATGTTTAGATCAAACATACTTGAACACACACCCGTACACATACACACAGTACGCCTTTTCTCGCACCTCCATCTTGACCCATCTCCCAATCACACTCCGCCTCTTCTCCCACATCCATCTTGACCCATCCCCCTATCACACTCCGCATTTTCTTCCACCTCATCCTTTCCCCACCCCACCACCACCAACCCCACCACCAACCCCAACACACACACATCATCTTCCTCAACGTTCCGGCTACACTACTAACTACTTCTAGCACCTCCAAATTGACCCCTTCCCCAACCACACTCCGCATCATTTTCCACCTCAACGTTCCGACACCACTTCCCAGCCTACACACACCACCACCTACCAGCCACAGAGTACACCAACTACCAGTTACAGAGCACCACCTGTACCAGTTGCAGAGCACCACCACCTACCAGCTACAGAGTACACCACCCTACCACCACAGATCACCACCACCTACCAGCTACAGAGTACACCACCCTACCAGCCACAGAGTACACCACCCTACCAGCCACACAGCATACAGATCCACCTACCAGCTACAGAGCACCACCACCTACCAGCTACAGAGCACCACCACCTACCAGCTTACAGAGCACCACCCTACCAGCTACAGAGTACCACCACCTCACCAGTTACAGAGCACACCACCACCAGCTACAGAGTACCACCAGAGACCTACCAGCTACAGAGCACACCACCCTACCAGCCATGCTACAGAGTACCACCACCTACCAGCTACAGAGTACCACCACCTACCAGCTACAGAGTACACCACCTACCAGCTACAGAGCACCACCCTACCAGCTACAGACCCTACCAGTACCACCCTACCAGCTACAGACCACCACCCTGACCCACCACCCTACCAGCTACAGAGCACCACCCCTACCAGCTACCCACCACCATAGCACCACCCTACCATCTACAGACACCAGCTACAGACATAGCACACCACCCTACTGCAGACCACCACCCCACCAGACCCTACCACATAGCACCACCTACCAGCTACAGACCACCACCCTACCAGCTACAGACCACCACCCTACCCAGCTACAGACCACCACCCTACCAGCTACAGACAGACCACACCCTACCAGCTACAGACACACCACCCTAGACCACCACCCTACAGCTACAGACCACACCACCCTACCAGCTACCAGCACCAGCTACACAGACCTACACACCCTACCAGCTACATACCACCCTACTAGCACCCCACCACCCTACCAGCTACAGACCACCACCCTACCAGCTACAGAGCACCACCCTACCAGCTACTACCAGCTAGCCACCACCCTACAGACCACCACCCCACCACCCTACCAGCTACAGCCACCACCCTACCAGCAGACCACCAGCTACAGACCACCACCCTACCAGCTAGAGATCATGTTATTTGCGTTATTCACTGTCGTCATTTTCCGTAATTTATTCCTGAATTGTTTCGCTTTCAGCTTTTTGAAAATGTTTATTTCCTTTATTTCGTCATGGGACATCAAATTCTCCTGTGCCATTGGTTGTAGTTTGGAAATTAAAACTATATTTAACTGAACTATATACACAGATCTTGTGCACAGACTATCATGAAAAGTGGCATCAAAGGATTGAGTCAAATACTATGTCTTTTTATCGGAAATAGATGTTGCACTGATCGATACTTTGTGATCCTACAGAGCTATTTGTAACTGTAATTTCTCCACTAATGAACATTTCTCACAGAAACTGGCCTCGTAATGATGACCACATATCTACCTTGTACCCTGCGTTAATTGCAGGTTTCACCTGTCCGTGTTTGCACCTGCTCACAGGTAAACAGACGCCCTTCACCTGCTGTGGTCAACCATTGTCCAGGGTGGATAAGCTTGTTAACGCTATACACTGACTAATGGATCGCAACATTACAAAACCCTGCCATGATAATTACGTTTGATATATAATGAGCTGGTTTACTTCTCACATAGCAACGATGATATTGATTACTGTTATACGGCATATGATCCTAAGCTCATGATGACGGCTGAGCCCATGGGAGGTCATTTTACAACATTGTTTTGTAATAGTAATCTTCACACATTGTTCTTTCTCAAGACCTTGTGCGAACTTGTGTTCCGGCGCAATATTCAACCCGTTTGAGATTTTTCCCAGCAGCAAATCTTTTAGAGAGAAATGAAATACGAGTGACAAAAACCTTTCCACAGCCACAAAAAATATCAGTTAATGGCAGAGTTGATTAAACAATTCCGACTGGATCGTGACCGCGACTTTATGAATCACCATATAATGGTGATGCCACCGGGTGTTTGCGAAAAGGTGACTTTATCCTGCCCAACAATAGTTTCCACGGTTTGTTGACTCCGACACAAAGGAGCTAAGTTAGGCGCACGTGTTAGCTTATTTGATACATGGTGAGGCCATTAGCATACGATGGCTCTGCTAGACATATATCAGGACCCTCAACCAACACAGGTTCTGAGGATCTTGTCTACCTGTATCTCCGGTGAAGTAATGCATCAATAAAATATACATCACGACCGATGCTTTGGATTGCATCTTAACAGGTCTTAAAAGAAATATATATTACCGTTAAAACGTTGTTTAACCAAACACATAAACTGTCGTGTAACGCCTGGCTTAAGGGGTTCATAGTCGGTCTGTTTAAATCTCAAACTGTGGTTGATCATGACAACGCCATGAACGTGTTCAGTCTTTGCCAATATTGTTGACATATTTCCATCAATTCACTTGGTCATTTCCAAATAGGAAAACTGTCGATAATTGAATGGTGAACGCGGTGGACCATGATTTAATCGGCTACGACGATCGCACAGTGTGTCAATGCTTCAATAACTGTCAATGCATTGTATTGTTCGTCATGGAGTGATGGGTTCGTTTCTTGATGTAATGAATTAATTGTTGCCATCCGCGGGAGAGTGTACACTACCAGACAAAAGAACCATTATAAAGAACCATATGCTTGAAAACTGGATTTGATCATAATGTTATTAAATGGTCACCAGGCTGAAAAGAGTGGATACGGTGACATGCTTCAACCCAAATCCTGACGACCCGATCCCGTTAGTCGGTGAATACCGGTATTAAATACACTTCCTCCAACAAGGCGGGAACACCCAATATTGTGTATGTGCTTCGGTATAGGTCAGTCTGACAGCACAGTAATACTGTACCATGATGTCTTGTTCTGCATGAGGAGCAGTGAGTGACTGAGTTTAGTTTTACGCCGCACTCAGCAATATTCCAGCTATATGGCGGCGGTCTGTAAATAATCGAGTCTGGACCAGACAATCCAGTGATCAACATGAGCATCGATCTACCTGATGGGAACCGATGACATGTGTCATCCAAGTCAGCGAGCCAGACCACCTGATCCCGTTATTCGCCTCTTAAGACAAGCATGGGTTATTGAAGATCAATATTCTAACCCGGCCCTTCACGGGTCCAGTAGAGATATGAATCAAGCAGACATGTAGTAGGAACGCTGAACGAAACCATTTGTGAATGCGATCTGGCGACTGTCAAATTGGCAGAAAACAAATGCGATCGTGTTTAAGTCCGAACTAAACGTTTTCTACCCATTGGACGGCGTTCTGTATATAATCGAGTTTGGATCTGACAATCCAGTGATCGACATCATGAGCACCAATCTACGCAGTTGGGATACGATGACACGCTTCAAACCTAGATCCTGACCACCCGATCCTGTTAGTCGCCTTTTACGTCAAGCATGGGTTGCTGAAGACCAATTCTAACCCGGATCTCCACGGATGACAAGCATGGGTTGCTGAAGACCAGTTCTAACCCGGATCTTCACGGATGACAAGCGTTTGTTGCTGAAGACCAATTCTAACCCGGAACTTCACGGGAGACAAGAATGGGTTGCTGAAGACCAATTCTAACCCGGAACTTCACGGGAGACAAGTATGGGTTGCTGAAGACCAATTCTAACCCGGATCTTCACGGATGACAAGCGTTTGTTGCTGAAGACCAATTTTAACCCGGATCTTCACGGATGAAAAGCATGGGGTGCTGAAGACCAATTCTAACCCGGATCTTCACGGATGATAAGTGTGGGTTGCTGAAGACCAATTCTTACCCGGAACTTCACGGGAGACAAGCATGGGTTGCTGAAGACCAATTCTAACCCGGATCTCACGGATGATAAGCATGGGTTGCTGAAGACCCATTCTAACCCGGATCTTCACGGGAGACAAGCATGGGTTGCTGAAGACCAATTCTAACCCGGATCTTCACGGATGACAAGCGTGGGTTGCTGATGACCAATTCTAACCCGGATCTTTATGTTGTTGCTATATTGATTTGTTCGATTGTGTGTTGAACTGTTGACACTAACATCAGCTGGTAACGTTAACATGCCCGTCCAGAAACACAATCTGGTTCATTATTGTTTCTAATGTAACAGATTAATGGATAGACAAAGGTTAGATGGTGTGAAAAAAAACACCCAGAAAAACACAAAACGTATGATAACCAACTCATGATAACATTCAAATTAACTAGTTGACGGTGTAATGCAGTGCCATGTCTAATTTTTCAATATTTGTGGAAAGATCCATGTGAACACGTAGACTCTGAGAAACCTTACGACTATGTCTTTCTTGTTTTCTTGTTGTTACCGACTCGTTTACTGTTTATTCGCTTAGGCACTGTTGGCACTGTGTGGTAGCCTGGTGGTTAAAGCGTTCGCTCGTCACGCCGAAGACCGAAATTCGATTCCTCACATGGTTAAATGTATGAAGCCCATTTCTGGTGTCCCCCACCGTTCTATTGCTGGAATACTGCCACAACGTTGTAAAACCATTCTCACTCACTGCAGAGCATGCAGGAGACGCACCGTGATCGAGCACCTGCTGCCATACCTTTGAATTCTACAATCTAACAGCAAGCATTATGTTGTCACAAAATCGATTGTCATAAATAAGTGTAATTTTCACAAAGAATGATCTCGTTATTCACACGTATTACAGCGTGTTAAACCGTTTTGAATAAAAGTAATGAGACACAATCAAACACATGCAAGGCGAGTATGTTTGTAGCGTTAAGTCAATAAGGTTTAATTTACGGATTGCGAGGTGTGGAATCTATCAAAATCTATTTGTAATAGGCTTGATTAGGTATTATATTCTTAACTAATAAACTTTATTATTATCGCCGGTAGGAAATATAGATATGTATTACACATATAATGTACATACTGGGTACTATATTGTGCGCCAGTAGAAAATGTATCAAACGTGAAGTCCACTTTCAACAGGCACCTTCACTATACCCTTGTGAAGGATCGAAATGTTGCGACCCCCAGAGACTATTATTTCGTTATATCTGACAGGGTGTTCCCTAACAAGTGTCTCAAACATCCAGTTTTGGAAATTGCAAGATTTAATTTGAAACGTTGCTCTTGCAGACAATTATAGCTAAAAACTACCTTTCCACACCATAGTGATTCCGCGTAATGAGTAGCTCAGATGGTGAAGAGAAGTATGCGTGCAGTTATTGTTATATAAAATATCATGAAATAAATCTATTTACAGACCACTGTTATAGTTTTCATGCGACATACCCGATATGTACGATATAAAAATGATGTAACCATTATATTCACACTACAAAAAACACGAATTGTTCACCAGCATGTTTTAAACGATTTCCAGGGAGAAGTGGATTCTGAGAAACGGCAAAAATCAATGTTCAATAATCAATAATTTACCCTGATGATTCCACGTGACCTATTCGTGTTTTGCTGTTTTCGTGTTTGGCTTATAGACAGACAGACTAGTTTATTCAGTAAAAGGCCACAGGCAAATCATAGTGTCATTTGCATTAGATAGTTTAGTGCACATGCTGTGTAAGAGGAACATTTTTAAGTGCTGAAGTACATGATACAGAACAATACTGACATCCCTTATAATACAAACATTATGTGTTTTCATTATGTGAATAAAATTGGCATTTGGATCAAAATCAGTCAAATATTTCTGAATATATCTTAACCTTAAATCAGAAAAACGTTCACACTTAAGGAGTACATGGAATTCATCTTCAATAACATTGTTTGGCTTATAAGACTCGCTTAACCTGTAATTCTCCAACACAACGTTATGTTACACACTCATGTACTTTTAGTAAGTAGTATATTTAGTGAGTGAGTGAGTTTGGTTTTACGCCGCTTTTAGCAATATTCCAGCAATATCACGGCGGGGGACACCAGAAATGGGCTTAACACATTGTACCCATGTGGGGAATCGAACCCGGGTCTTCGGCGTGACGAACGAACGCCTTAACCACTAGGCTACCCCACCGCCCCAGTAGTATATTTAACTTATATTGAATGACATATGAGTTACATGTATTATCAGTTGATGCATTAGTTGGCTCTGTACATTTGTGACAAGTATAACTGACAACAACTGTATTTTTATTCATGCATTATCCCGAATTGATCCATACCTGTATGTAAGTGTATATCTAAGATGTTACCCTCAACAATCCATGTCATATTTATGTCTAACATCAAAATACAAATCCACATAATATGAGATGTGCGATATTAACTTTATATACTCTTCATAAAGGTGGGGCGGTGGGGTAGTCTAGTGGTTAAAGCGTTGGCTCGTCACGCCGAAGACCCGGGTTCGAATCCCCACATGGGTACAATGAGTGAAGCCCATGTCTGGTGTCCCCCGCCGTGATATTGCTGGAATATTGCTAAAAGCGGCGTAAAACCAAACTCAGTCAGGCAGTCTTCATAAAGGTTTAAAGTGTTTCAAACAGATTGCATCTGTATCACGACCGAAGTGAAAATCCCTACAAATATTGCGAGCATCTACAAATATCGGATTTTATCGGATTTTATTGATATTATATAATATATGATCAACATGCAGAGGGTGCACGATGTATCAATAGTTTAGCAGCTCCACCTAGTGGCGAGAAGGGAACGAACTGATACTGAGGCTGGCGTGGACGTCAGTATCGATTACCTGGGTTACAAAGCTGCTATTGAATAAGTAGCTGGCCACAGGATCCGGTCACCTTGTGTTCATTCCAGACCGTCATCTATTGATCCCAAGTGTGGAAAAGGTGCATTATTAATTAGCTCTGTGGAGATAATAGTGAATTTTGTGTAACGACAGAGTCTTGACGGGGTCGGTGTTGTGGAAAGGCTGCAGTGACATCTTCACCGGTCATCGACATGCTTCTTCCAACTCCCTCACAACTTATACATACGTCATAAATTAAGCTGGAAAACCTAAGGAAAATGTTTCATGGCGATAGTAATGTATACATTTGATTATGAGCGCGTCAAATGGATCATGGCAACGCCTGGCAACACCAGAAAAGACGTCTTCGTTTTATTGACCCGATAATGTGGAGAGAGAGAGAGAGGGGGAAATAGACCTCACGTATCTATCTCCATATCCACCAAACCGTCATGTATTATATTCATACTCAGCACCATCCCTGAAACCCGATCTCTCCAATTGTGCGTGAGTCAGCTTGTTACAACATTCAGAAAGAATAAATTAGAAATTAAATACAATGCGCTAGAAGGACAAATGACATATTGTTGTACTTAATCATGTACTTAAGTTAGGTACATATGCCACAGGCCGGCGAGGTCTTCGTAATGGTCAATTAAACATTATTCAATTACTGACTTCTATTACTGGATTATTATTAACACGCTTTGTGTGGATTACTATTGAACTCCAACAGGGGTGTGGGGTGTTGCTATTTGTGCATGTAAACAACAAAACGACGTTACATAATATCGGGAGTGGTGGGGTAGCCTCATGGTTCGGTTCCCCATATGGATACAATGTGTAAAGCCAATATCACATGTCCCGCCCTGACATTGCTGAAATATTGCTAAAAGCGGCGTAAAACCAAACTCTCTTACATAACATATCGTGAACTTCTAACGGACTAAATGTCACAATGGAGATGTGTCGAAATTAACTTCCGAACATGAAACGGACACAAACAAATGCAAAAACATATTATTATTGTGTCACATATTATGTAACGCAATAAAACACTTAATAATATAATAATAAAATGTGATATGCGCCTAGAGGACTACGAGACACACTATTTTATATATTTCACCAACATAAGAATATATTTAAAAGAATGAACGAATCGTGGCTATGTATAAACAATTACTGATTATACAGAACAATTACGTCTGTTATACATTTTGAAAGCTGATGCAGCTAAGAGATTTACAAGTATGCTATTGTCCAGACTGAAGATTGAGAGTTGATTTACATTCAATACACTATTATATTTTAGGTCACAATACATAGAGCAACTGATCAGAAACTGTACGTCATCCTCAATGGAGGCACTGTCACAGAACTTACATATATTATTATTAGGATTGTTTTAGGACACGTAACTCTGCAAGATTCTATTTCCAAAGAAAGAGTACCACATCATAATGTTCTCAGTATATTACGGAGACCTCGGTAGAATGTCAATAACATGAGATTTAGGTACCATTTTTTACATTCCTATTTGGTTGCCCTCGAACATTCCAAATTTCAGTACTGGTGTCAAATTTGTTCTCGTCACGGTTCCCTTGTCTCGATATGGTTCAAATGTTGCTGATGTAATATTAAGTAATAACTCACTCACTCACTCAGTGTTCCAATTCTGACAATCCAATCAGTAAATCAGTTAAAAAGTATGATTTAAGTCAAATTAGAATATATTATACACATCTAACACTGGTAAATTAAGGAGGTTAAATATATTAGAAACGGTATTATTCCAAGATTTGGAAGCTCTCTTAAACGCATATCAATTTGGTTGAACGAGAAAGGGAAATTCAAATATTTGCTAGTTCCTCCACAAACCCGGCTTCCTTCCCCGCATAAGTACAAAGTGTGTAGCCTATTCCTTGTGTCGCCTGTCGTACTATTGCTTAACTATTGACAAAAGCGAGGTAAAAACTCATTTTTTTGTCGTTTTGATTCGGATCAGAGTCACACCACCAACATTCTTTTACGTTTTTCACAATTCTGTTTTAAATAAAATGTATACTGTTGAAGATTTCATGCTTGTCGGGTTCACAATTGACGTCATGTCACCGTTCCCACCGACCGATGTTCATGATGTCAATCACTGGATAGTCCGGTCCGAACTGGTTATTACAGACCGCCATCCAATAGCTGTTATATTGCTGAGTGTGGCGTTAAACAGCAAACAAAGTCGGGGTCTTCACGGATCAATCTGCAGTCCAAGCCTGTTACGTAACGCTGATAACGAGATTGAAATTGATTTATCTAGAACAGCGACATCAGCTGTCACACGCTGTTTTATCGCTGCTGTGTCACACTCCACAAACCAGAACAGTACAAAAAACACTGGTTTCAAACGTCACAGGCCTCCCACAATGGCCGCTGAGTAATATCGGATTAAATTTCCATGAAAAGCTCATACCTTACGAAGTGGAACGGCGTTATTGTGCATTCTGTACATAAGACTGCCGACAATTGATTTGACATGGTGATCACTCTGCTCGGATCACGTGACTTGAGGAAGCCAATGGGAGTACGGTCAGATCGTGAGAACAAACCCCTCCGTTAATCAAGTCCCCGTTTACCCGGTAGGTACTAATTAAACTGCCTTTCTCTTCCTCTTGCACGCATCCAAGAACAGGTAACCAAGGGATTGTTTTTATCCTCACCTACAAGAGTAACGCTGCGGCCTTGTGTCACAACACTGGTACTCTTGTTAGAGGAAGTCCATGTTTCTATTCCTGTGAAAAGATTTACTTTTTAACAGTTTGGTTTGTATCGTAAATACGTAGTCCTTTCCTGTATATCAAGACCACTAACGAGGGACAGTATTTTGGATAATTTGTGTTTCATCCAAGAGGGAGTGTACGACAATGTGACCTTCTACCTCCGTGAGTTTTTACCTATTTTCATAACACTTTGTAAATATATTTTCGCAAGGAGGCCAGAGACTTTGAACAAGTGACGCAGTCCAGTAAATCGGATTAAGTGTGGAAGAAAGATGGGTTTTCTTTGCTGTGGAAACTATCTGGAAAAGATGCATATGGCATTTACCGTTTTGTTTATCGTGCTCGCGAACCACGCGGTGAGGACTAAACAGTCAACGTCAGTTTCTGATATATCAATGACTATGAGTGATATGTCTACTGTGTCAGAGATGGGATCTGTTTCACTTCCATCAACGAGTGGTGGTATATCAATGACGTATTCAACAGAATCGACATATAGTAGTGTTGACATGAGTAGCGGTTCAGGTATATATCCAAGTGAAACGACAAGTTATTCCATGGGAGGTACGAATTCCGCAAGTATGTGGGGATCAACGGAAACCATGTCAAGTATGCCTCAGAACTCAATGACCACAATGTCTCCTGGAGGCTCCACGACCCCTGGTGACCCCACAATGGCATCTTGTATGTCATATCAGAGCTCCATGTCAAGTGATCCCACAATGGCATCTTGTATGTCATATCAGAGCTCCATGTCAAGTGATCCCACAATGCTGTCTTGTATGTCATATCAGAGCTCCATGTCAAGTGACCCAACAATGATGTCAAGCATGTCATATCAGAGCTCCATGTCAAGTGACCCCACAATGGCATCTTGTATGTCATATCAAAATTCTATGTCAAGTGACCCCACTATGATGTCTTGTATGTCATATCAGAGTTCCATGTCAAGTGATCCGACAATGATGTCATGTATGTCATACCAGAGCTCCATGTCAAGTGATACGTCGATTATGTCTAGCATGTCTTACCAGAGCTCCATGTCAAGTGACCCACCAATGATGTCAAGCATGTCATATCAAAGCTCCATGTCAAGTGACCCCCCGATGATTTCTAGCATGTCATACCAGAGCTCCATGTCAAGTGATCCCCCAATGATGTCTAGCATGTCATACCAGAGCTCCATGTCAAGTGAGCCCCCACTGATGTCTAGCATGTCATATCAGAGCTCCATGTCAAGTGATCCCTCGATAATGTCTAGCATGTCATACCAGAGCTCCATATCAAGTGACCCCACAATGATGTCTAGCATGTCATATCAAAGCTCCATGTCAAGTGATCCCTCGATAATGTCTAGCATGTCATACCAGAGCTCCATGTCAAGTGAGCCCCCAATGATGTCTAGCATGTCATATCAGAGCTCCATGTCAAGTGAACCCCCAATGATGTCAAGCATGTCATACCAGAGCTCCATGTCAAGTGACCCCCAATGATGTCTAGTATGTCATATCAAAGCTCCATGTCAAGTGACCCCCACAATGATGTCTAGCATGTCATATCAGAGCTCCATGTCAAGTGATCCCACAATGATGTCAAGCATGTCATATCAGAGCTCCATGTCAAGTGATCCCCCAATGATGTCAAGCATGTCATATCAGAGCTCTATGTCAAGTGTCCCCTTAATGATGTCTAGTATGTCATACCAGAGCTCCATGTCAAGTGATCTGATGTCTAGTATGTCATACCAGAGCTCCATGTCAAGTGAGCCTCCAATGATGTCAAGCATGTCATACCAGAGCTCCATGTCAAGTGTCTCCCAAATGATGTCTAGTATGTCATACCAGAGCTCCATGTCAAGTGACCCCTCGATGATGTCTAGCATGTCATATCAAAGCTCCATGTCAAGTGATCCCCCAATGATGTCTAGCATGTCATATCAGAGTTCCATATCAAGTGACCCACCAATGATGTCTAGTATGTCATATCAGAGCTCCATGTCAAGTGTCCCCCCAATGATGTCTAGCATGTCATATCAGAGCTCCATGTCAAGTGATCCCCCAATGATGTCTAGCATGTCATATCAGAGTTCTATATCAAGTGACCCACCAATGATGTCAAGCATGTCATATCAGAGTTCCATGTCAAGTGACCCCCCGATGATGTCAAGCATGTCATATCAAAGCTCCATGTCAAGTGACCCACCAATGATGTCTAGCATGTCATACCAGAGCTCCATGTCAAGTGACCCCCAATGATGTCAAGCATGTCATACCAGAGCTCCATGTCAAGTGACCCACCAATGATGTCTAGCATGTCATACCAGAGCTCCATGTCAAGCGATCCCCGATGATGTCTAGCATGTCATATCAGAGCTCCATGTCAAGTGACCCCCAATGATGTCTAGCATGTCATATCAAAGTTCCATGTCAAGTGACCCATCAATGATGTCTAGCATGTCATACCAGAGCTCCATGTCAAGTGACCCCCCGATGATGTCAAGCATGTCATACCAGAGCTCCATGTCAAGTGACCCACCAATGATGTCTAGCATGTCATACCAGAGCTCCATGTCAAGCGATCCCCCGATGATGTCAAGCATGTCATATCAGAGCTCCATGTCAAGTGACCCACCAATGATGTCTAGCATGTCATATCAAAGCTCCATGTCAACTGACCCCCAATGATGTCTAGCATGTCATATCAGAGCTCCATGTCAAGTGAGCCCCCCAATGATGTCTAGCATGTCATATCAGAGCTCCATGTCAAGTGACCCCACAATGATGTCTAGCATGTCATATCAGAGCTCCATGTCAAGTGATCCCCCGATGATGTCAAGCATGTCATATCAGAGCTCCATGTCAAGTGACCCACCAATGATGTCAAGCATGTCATATCAGAGTTCCATGTCAAGTGATCCCCCAATGATGTCTAGTATGTCATATCAGAGCTCCATGTCAAGTGATCCCCCAATGATGTCAAGCATGTCATATCAGAGCTCCATGTCAAGTGACTCCCCAATGACGTCCAGCATGTCGTATCAGAGCTCCATGTCAAGTGACCCCCCGATGATGTCTAGTATGTCATACCAGAGCTCCATGTCAAGTGACCCCCCAATGATGTCTAGCATGTCATATCAGAGCTCCATGTCGAGTGACCCCCCAGTGATGTCAAGCATGTCATATCAGAACTCCATGTCAAGTGATCCCCCAATAATGTCCAGTATGTCATCTTCAAACATGATGATGTCATACTCTAGCACGATGATGTCATCACAAGCGATGGGTACGTCAACACCTCCACTATCGTCGTCATCACCAGGGGATAGTTCTTCATCAATGATCCAAATGTCATCGTCATCACCAGCTGCTAGTTCCTCCACAGCACCTCCACTATCGTCGTCATCACCTGTGGATAGTTCTTCATCAATGATCCAAATGTCATCATCATCACCAGCCGCTAGTTCCTCCACAGCACCTCCACTTTCGTCGTCATCACCAGGGGATAGTTCTTCATCAATGATCCAAATGTCATCATCATCACCAGCTGCTAGTTCCTCCACAGCACCTCCATCAATTCGTCGTCATCACCAGCTGCTAGTTCTTCATCAATGATCCATCACCAGGGATAGTTCTTCATCAATGATCCAAATGTCATCGTCATCACCAGCTGCTAGTTCCTCCACAGCACCTCCACTATCGTCGTCATCACCAGGGGATAGTTCTTCATCAATGATCCAAATGTCATCATCATCACCAGCTGCTAGTTCCTCCACAGCACCTCCACTATCGTCGTCATCACCTGTGGATAGTTCTTCATCAATGATCCAAATGTCATCATCATCACCAGCTGCTAGTTCCTCCACAGCACCTCCACTATCGTCGTCATCACCTGTGGATAGTTCTTCATCAATGATCCAAATGTCATCATCATCACCAGCTGCAGGTTCCTCATCAACACCTCAGATATCTTCGTCATCACCAGCTGACAGTTCATCGTCCACACCTCAGGTATCGTCGTCAACTCCAGCGGCTGGCTCCCCGTCAACGTCCCCAGTGTCGTCATCATCAGCAACGACATCATCATCTACCCTAGCACCAAGCTCATCGGAAGCATCTGCTACATTAACTACATCCACAGAAATAATGCCATCAACAACAATGACGACACCGACCTCCACACTCGCAGACACGTCAACCTCTGTAGCCATCACCCCATCTTCTGTGTCAGTGGCTCCGTCCTCTTCAATTGTCATCGACTTCAGTGGTTTCTACGGATGCTTCCAACAAAGAGGCATAAACTTTTTAGCTATGTATGAGGTCTATAACAAAGTGTACTGTGCTGCGAACACGATCACTGCAATTGGAGACAAACTAGCGAACCTGACCCTCCCGGATGGTAATGTGACAACCATAGACTTGAGTCCTGCGTCGTCATCTGTGCTTGCCACCGTCACTCCCGCTCCCCTCAGCACGAGCGGCCCCAACTGCTCGGCATATGACTTCACCGGACAATCCAACGCAGAAATACTTTCTGGCCTCCAAACTGATGTACAAACATCAATAACGTTCTTCACATCTCAAGCTTCAACTGAAGTTGACCAAGCAGCACAGTGTGGCGTCAACGTCCTCGGCTCCCAGGCATCGGCGTACACCAGCACCATCGACACATACAAGACAAACGCCAAGGCCCAGAATGTCGAGTTCAAGACCTACTTCGAGGCGCTGTTAGCTGCACTTAAAGAAGGTGAGTGCTACGTTTCTTCTAAACGTTTGGTGACAATACAGTCAAATTTCGTATCTTACGCTTAGTTTTCCGTTACAAGCTGACCATTCGATAATCTGATGGGTAAAGGAATGGGATGGGGGATGGGGAGCGCTTTGGCTGCGATATTTTGGAAACGGCAAATTCGGTCATAAACAATGAATGACGTTTTTTGGACAACAATGACGGCAGAGGCTTTGGCCTATCATCCCACACAGCAGAGGATTTCTGAAGGGTCAACGAGTGACGTCATTGATCAAACCTCAGAGATATATTCTAGGAATTTGCATCGCAATTCTTTTCTTGCCATTGTGATGTCAGCTGTTACCATGGCAACAATATATTAAGATGAAATCCCAAGTTTTATGGGCACAGAAGCTGTTTCTCACTTTATTTCACAGAGGAAACTAGTTATTATTGGTAACAGCCTAAAAAGGTTGAAGAATTTGGATGGTGAATTAAGGGTAGATTATCGAGTCGTTTAAAAGAAAACAAAACTCCAACTGTAGTCGTTCGATAGGTGCCAATTCAACTAGACTGCGTAATCACCGGAAACCAGTTAACGTCAGCGACTAAACTAACTGGGTTTCGGACCAGCTGGGGAGGACCTGGTGCCTCCTTGACAAACAGGGATTGACAATCTCTTGAATTCTCATATTTGACTGGATTATGCTTACCAAAACCTTTCACCTTGCCAAACCGTATATGTGTGAGACCGTTTATGTACAGTGATTTACTTCAGTATATAGCTATTACGTGAACGTATTATTTTTGCAACAATAAAGTTGAGTTAATGTACCCTAGACAGTACATTGCAAGCAATTAATTATTAATCTCATCTTCAATGTTTTATCGTATAAGCCTTACACTTGTGTATTTGTCGTCATTCACCTGATGACGTTATTAATGAAGCGTATAGCGTTATAGATAACAACTTCCTGTTTATTGCATAGAGCGAGGTTTCAGTATAGATATAAATACCGTTATCAAGCTAAACGCTATTCATAAAGTATGCTTCATTATTGACTCACTAACTTGAAGAATGCCGATCAAAAATAATAGCTTCATTCCAAGTGTTAATTAGCCATGGTTGCACTTGACTTTGCAAAATACCTGCATCTGAATATGTATGTGCGGTAGAGATTCACTGTCATTCAAAACGACTTCCTTAAACACATCAATTATACTGCAACACAAGGCTCTGCGGACTAAATGACGTCATCAGTTGCCATGGCATCACAATCAAATGACAACGTAACTTTACATATTACGCTCAAGATACTAGTTTTTACTGTTTTCTAAATTTATAAAACGTTTGCATGGTCCTGTTTTTGTATCAAATTTATCAACTCTCGTCGCTAAAATATATAATCTCGCGTACAAATAACGTTTAGAGTTCACATATTTGCCATCAAAAACACTCGAGTAATTTCCTTTACATCCACATTTTGTAATTTGCTTTGGCGTTATCCACGTGTTTGTTATTCAGGAGGTTATCACAAAATAACAATTTAAGAAAGATCTATGTATGATTACTTCTACCAGTCACACGGATATGCTTCGAGCCCAGGGACATCAAAGGAAAATCAAACAAACCCTTGTCCCTTGTGACCATGAAACGACATGTAACCGATTCTCTCCTCACTAACGAACGCCCCCTTATACCTGTATTACAATACTCAGTGTTAGTTCAGTCAATCTGTTATTGATAGATATGAACTGTTATTAGACGCTGCAGGTGAATGTCAATACCATGATATTTACATGTGTCATTATAATAAAGAAACATTGTGCTACACGGTCACATGAATCGCGAACTAAAACCATGCATTAGTATATCCAGAATCACATCACATGTTTGTATGATATTTTTCAAGTATACTCATGCCAATAATGGTTGTCACCCCCTTCAATTTTTATTGGAGAGGGGGTGTTGGGGTGGGTGGGGTGGGGGTGGGGTGGGTGGGGGGTGACAACCATTATTGGCATGAGTATTTAGATATCTACATACAGAGACTTCACCAAATATATAATGATACAGTTGCAAAGAAAATAATGATTAGTTTTAGGCTGTTACAGACGTTACAGAAAGAAATATTTCTCATTCATATTTCTGTAGTGAATTCTGGTTTCTATGTAACCTGGTTCCCTAGCATCGTGATAAAACAAAGTCTATAACAAAGTCTATGACAAAGTCTATGACAAAGTCTATAACAAAGTCTATAACAAAGTCTATAACAAAGTCTATGACAAAGTCTATAACAAAGTCTATGACAAAGTCTATAACAAAGTCTATGACAAAGTCTATAACAAAGTCTATAACAAAGTCTATGACAAAGTCTATAACAAAGTCTATGACAAAGTCTATGACAAAGTCTATAACAAAGTCTATGACAAAGTCTATAACAAAGTCGATAACAAAGTCGATAACAAAGTCTAAGACAAAGTCTATAACAAAGTCTATGACAAAGTCTATAACAAAGTCTATAACAAAGTCTATAACAAAGTCTATGACAAAGTCTATAACAAAGTCTATAACAAAGTCTATAACAAAGTCTATAACAAAGTCTAACAAAGTCTGTGACAAAGTCTATAACAAAGTCTATAACAAAGTCTATAACAAAGTCTATAACAAAGTCTATAACAAAGTCTATAACAAAGTCAACCACGACAGTTAAATGTATATCGAGGTCTCTGAAACTGTCTATTCATAACATTTCATAAATTCCATATCCATAACTATTATTGTTTACACATTCTATTCAATAATAAATTATGTCCTATGTATGTATTAAGGGAACACTGAATAAGGTCCTGTAATGCGCGTAGGCTAAGGCCTTTCTTTCAAATGACAGTTCGATTTATATAACATAGGACTGAAATAATACCTTAACCGCCCAATTGAGAGAACTTCCACCTCACGTTTAAACTCCGTTGTTTCATAGTTGACGGGATCTACGTAAATACTTCAAGCTAACCAAGGTTCGGCACAACCACGGGTGGTGGGGTAGCCTAGTGGTTAAAGCGTTCGCTCGTCACGCCATAGATCCGGGTTGACTCCCCGCCGTGATATTGCTGGAATATTGCTAAAGCGGCGTAAAACTAAACTCACTCACTCAATCGACACGACCACAAGCTGACAAACTAAACTGGAAAAACGGAGGGACCAAACTTTGACTTCCGACGGGTTTTGATTTTATAGCTATTTCCATAGTTATGATATATAAGTTTAACATACATATATTACATCTTAGCAAACATGGACATGGTCCATTCCGATTATGATATAGGCACGTGTTTAGGAATCAAATAACAATGATACAAGTTGTTCCAAAAACTGTAAGCGAATCTTGCAGAACACGTTTTAAGTTATCATATACTCCCCACCCACACAACATTGCAAGATATTTAAATGGGGACTGAATAGTTTATCAGATATATTTGTCGTTAAAGCTATATAAATATATACTGAAAGAAACAAATATAGGAACACAGGAAAATTGAAGTGTTCCTTTAATATTTTTCAGTTTTCATCGAATAGCGCTATGGGAGAAAACCTGAGAATAAATAAAGGAACACTGCAATCATATGACATTGATGTTTCATCATGTGACAATAATGTTTCATTCTGGGACATTAATGTTTTCTTATATGACAATGATGTTTCCTCATGAGACATTCATATATATATACCATAACACCAACAAGAAAAGCAATAGGAAACACGTTCACTATTCACTAAGTGTCCTACACATTCAATTTATGTATAATACAAGTTATTTATTTAGAGGCCTTGCCCTGGGTGATGTGGCAATTGCCATAGTAACAGCCTTGGCTCGCGTCAATGACAAATACATGCCATCATGAGTCTGTCCCATCGATCGTTTGATAAAGACACGCTGGTGATATGTTTCATATAACATGTCCTAATGTCCTCACGGCCATTATTATTCAGTCAATGTGGACATAAAAGCATCATTTTACTGTATGATTATTAATATACACACTGTCTCTACCTACCTGGGAATGATAAAAAACATAATTAAAATGCACACAACTTTGGGGAATAGCGTGCATATGTACTGTTCAGTTACACAAGCACAACAAAACTATTACCATATTCCAAAGAAATCCATGCTTACAGCTTACGATTCTGGCTATACTGTAAGCATGCATGCATGAATGCACGTAGCATCCGTCATTAACACTATTCCCCAAAACAAACACAGAAACATACAACATTCAAAACAATCATTGCAATCATAAACAATATGATAACTGAAGCGTCCCGACTGATAATGTTTTTTCCTGAGAGT